AGAGACGAGGATGGGAAGGGAGGGACATACGTACGCAGAGGATAACGACAGCATTCAGCCTTGCCCGTGCATCGGGGTTGATGCTACCATGCGCTCACTCAACCACCAGAACCCGACACCCGGCATCCTCACTCACCTGAACACGTTCGTAGTCAACGCCACCTGCAGCCCCTGCACGCCCACATCCAGCACCGTCCACCCACCTACATCAACACCCTCCCTCGCACCAAATCAAAAACACGCACCGAATATCGCGACAACCACCGCGCCGACATTGATCCCGCCCGCAGCGGTCTGTATCGCCATCGAAATCAGGATGAGCCCGATGAAGAGCAGGCCCGCGGCCCAGGGGATGAGCCCGTCGATGAGGCGCCCGACGAAGGGCGCAGTCATGATCCCGAAGATACCTACGAGACCAAATAAACCAATGTCTAGCCTATCCGTCCATTGCAGCATGAGTATATACTACAGGGTCAGCATCAGCACCAGAGTCAGGAACGCACGTGGAGTAGTTGTACGGTGCGCCGCTGAGCAGGAAGGTCATGGTGACCCAGAAGCCCGCGTAGATCGCGCTGTCGGCAAAGAGGATCAGGCCGGTCTGGATGAGCAGTGGCTCGGTGACTGCGAAGCGCGCCATCGTGCCCAGGATGCGGAAGTAGGTCATGTCAGGGTTCTTCGGCGGCATATCCGGGCAGATGAGGTACATGACGATGAGGAGGAGGAATTGCCCTGGGTGGTGTCAGCGTAAGAGAGTGGGGAAAGGGGAAAAAACGGACGCACCGCCGACGCCCATCCAGTATATATTGTGGTAGCTCGAGAACTGTGCGATGATGCCCGACAAAACACGGGCGAGCATGACACCCATGAGCAGGCCGCTCATGACGACCGCAATCGACGACGCGCGCCTGTGCGGCGGGGCGAGCTCGGCGGTGAGTGGGATGAGGACCTGCCGACAATATCACGAGTTTATCTCCGCAGGAGAGATATCTGATGAGACTCACCTGCGGGGTAATCGATACGACCGCGACGAAGAACGAGAGCACCTCGAACGCGACGAGCGACTTTGTGATCGCGAGTCCGATGGTCAGCCCTGCGGCGGCGGTCATGAGGAGGAAGATGAACTGGCGGCGGTGGATGAGGTCGCCGAGGGGCGAGAGGAAGACCAGGCCGATTGCGTAGCTAAGGACATTGCTGAGTAGGCTAACGTAGGCACAGAAGAGCGGCGTACCCGGCCTGTAATAGTGAGGGTATGCGGGAGACTTTGACGTAGGACACATCAAACTCGTTCGAGAGCTGGACTGCATGCGCGAATAAGTCGCAGTGGCAGAATTCCATGTGGCGAGTGGCGCATCTAGAATAGGCTGGACATAGTATAGGTTCATGCCTGGAATTGATTTCAGCCTGATGTACGGATGTTACTGGTGCGAGATGCTAACAAGCTATCGGGCTCATCAGAACTAAGTGCAAGGTCGTGAATGAAGGGAAAGCGTACTGAATGTGCTGGCCAAGGCAAAGACGGCTGTCTGCCACATTCTGAGCTGGAAAACTTCGTCTGGCCGGTGCCGACAGTGCGGGGGAATTGGGAGGAAACCAAGGTCTCTTGTCCGCACTGTCTTTGTTACCGTTGGGTCCGGCATGGCTGCCGCCTTTTTGTTTACCCTGAACGGAGGTTGGCTTCAAGCTCTACGCTCAACGCGCCGACCGCGCTCCCAGTCCCTAGAGACGCGTACCAGATCCTTGGGACAGCGGTTGCAAACGAGAGGAGACTTGAGCAAGAACTAGCAGGGCGATTGAGGGAAGTGGAGACGCCTCGGGTTCTAAAGTTTATGCATTTAAGAACGTCCGGCTAGCAACCCTTTCACCTCGGAGCTCTGCTAAGCTCCGGAGAACCCTGCAATAAGTCCGCGATGACTGGGACTATTCCGGGAACACCGTCTACTTACTGGTGAAGCTCTGAGCGTCCGGCATCCTTGGGTACGTAGAAGTGTGCAGCTCGTGTCCGAGAGAGTTAGGATCGATACTAGAAAGTGGCGATTGCCGGAGATGCCGGCGACTCTCGCGGCCGATTCCGTTTCCGCCGGTAGCCACACTTCGTCCTGTCCTGTCACATCTATGCTCTGTATTGTCTAAACCAGAATACCAGCGTCGTAGGCTTAGTCTGCTGTCTTGGAGTACCATGTCTACACTCCGATCCCAATTCCTGCCCACCGCCCCCCCTCCGAGTCATCATGAATCTTGATGTTGTGAGGACGCGGGCATCGCGGAGGATCAGTCGAAACAGCCCAGAATTGAGAAACTCCTGCGATACATCTGGAACGGCCTTTCATTTTCGCTATGTACCCCACTCGAGTCTCGAGATCGCCGAACTGTTCGCAGTAAGCACGGTGACCCAATGGACACCTATCAGTAGGCTAATACCGAAGCCAAAGTGTCCCTCGGAGACTGAGGTGACGGAGAAGGTACTAAAGGAGACTGCAATTGCAAGACACCATGGACGGACGTGCACTGCAAGACCAGTCTTCGCTACGGCGTTTGCGTTGACAGGAACCCTGCTCTGCGATTGTCAACGAGGCTCCATCCCAGAAAATCCGAGGACTCGGAGTGTCTATGTCTCGATTCGTCCTCTGCTGGAAATCGGGATTGCCCATGAGTACTGAGTTCCAGTACTTTCCACCAACTTTACGCCGTGGATAGCCACGACCGACTGTAAGTGCAACCGTCGAAGCTATATACTAGTCCGTTCGATTGTAGATTCGCAACCTGCGCCGAGACAGTTAAAGCTCGTCGCATCTGCGTCAACGGTCCTCGACCGTCTTCCGGTCCGTGCGCTCTCTTCGTATGCATATTGGCTACCCGTTGCGAGAGACGAACTATTATCCTGAGTGGCCAGCTACTGAGCTAGTCGAGTCTGATGATCTTGCCTACCGCCGCAACACCCCCAGGTGGCTGTGGCTCGTCGCGTCCAAGGACGAAAGCCCGCGGTTGGGCATAACAGCGAAACAACTGATCAACCGACCTCGTCAACCCACAGGCATGTACTTCATCTCGGGCCCGCACGGTGGCTCCTTCATGGGATATCTACGATAGGTTCGCTATATTACACACTATGCGACCTAGCCTCCTGGAGATCACCCTCCCCTCTACGAGCCAAGTCAAATGCCCAGTAAGTACAAATAAACCTCGGTCTGCCCATACCCGGGGGCACCTTCTCTATGCCTCGGCCAGCTCTCACTGCAAGACGCAAGAACCCGCGGGCCCCCGCTCGCTCCGCCTCCCGCCGTTCCCGTTCTCGGCGACCTTCGTCACAGTGGTAATAACCGTACCCTCCTTTGTCGTCTGCACGGTCGTTGTGGTCGTCGTGCTGACCACCGTCTCCGTCCAGCCACTCGCACCCGGTGTCGTCTTATGCAGGCTGGCGCCGGTCTTGTCCTCCTGCGCTCCGACTGCTGTGGATTCCGTCTGGGACCTCCGGTGCCCGATGTGCCAGTCGCTGTGCTTGCTGTCTTGGTCGTCGTGCTCGGCCGCGGACGGGACTAGTCTCCACAGGTAACGCGCATCGGCGTGGTCTGGATTGGACTCGACGAGCTGGACCTTCAAGCACAGTCTCAGCAAGACAGCGTCCATGTTACGCTGACACCGCCCGCACGCACCTTGTGCCCCGGCTCGCCGCCCTCCCCTTCTGCGAAGCCCACGGCAAGCGCAGACTTCGGCCATCCAATACTTCACACGCAATCGTCAGACGTGTTTCCCACTCCGGCTGAGTTGCTCACCTGATGACTCTCTCCTCCCTAAGTCCCTCCCAATCAATCTCAGCGACGACCCAGCTCGCCGGAAACTCCGTCGCCACGACTTTCAGCACCCCGCCTCGCAGATCCGGCTCGACGGTCAGGTACACCCCGCCGCCCCTGCTGCGGATCGTGTAGCTCCCCTCGGGGCCGTTTGTCAGGGGCATGAAGGACCACTACACAAAACATGGCGTCGGCCAGCGCAAGTTCGAGATTTGAATACAAGGTAAGGTAAGGCGTGAGGGCGCGTACCTGCTGGTTCAAGCCGCCGTGCAGTGGGAAGCTGATCACGGACTTGTGGTCTCCGCCCGAGAGGTCCATCGCTGCTGCCGCCGGAATCGAATCCGACGTCAGAGATACAGGGGTGTAGACGCCCTGTATGCGCGGTTTGGCTGGCTTCTCTGCGGTCGCCGGGGGCTCGGGTTGCTCGCTGGGCTTTGGACTGTGCGCCTCTGATTCAGTATGGGGCGAGGGCTCGAGCTGTGTTTCTGCAGCTTCTATATGTGGGGCGTTCGTCTCGACCTTTGCCCCATTGGTATCTTCCGGGGAAGTCGCCTCTGGTGGGAGAGGATGGGATCCTCCAGGCATCTCCAGAGCCTCTTGCGGACTCGGATGGACTGGTTCTTGTGCTACAGCTTCTTGCACCGGGAGCGACGGGGCCGCCCCGGGCATCTCCGGTTCGAGTTGAAGACTTGGGCGGAGTGGTTCTTCCCCGAATGTCTCCTGAACCTGTTCCTCCCTCGGTGTGTGGTCTTCTCTCACGGATTGCGGTCTGCTACGGTACGGCGAGTGCGGTGAGGGCGCGCCCCAGGGCGCGCGAGCGGTCTGCGGCGGCCGGGCGGGGGTGCTCTCGGTGTTGCCCATCCTCAGAGGTAGAGTGAGTGTGCTGATCGCTCGGGACGGTGGCTAGTCCTACATATACCACAGCAGCCCATGGCCCCGGCTTGCGTATATGGCTGATTACAGTATGTGCGGGCATGCGATGGGCATGTGTTGTGGCGCTGCACGCATGCTGCTTGGGACATGTTCAAGCGCCGTTTCCCGCAGCGATGCCGTTCGGTGTGGTTGCTAACACGCGCGCCTGCAGGCAGGTCGCTGCGGGAGAACGTGGATACCGCGCTATGGGGATCGTCCTGGATCATTGCGGCACGGGCCATAGATGTGTGAGGATATGAAATGTGTTGCCATTATTGCGGTGAGGAACATGGAAGGAGCGGTAATGATAATGGTATCTGACATTGGTGGCAGTCTACATTAAAACAATAAAGTTACACATTCTCACTGGCATCCCCCTCACGCTCTCTATCGTCTAGCTCACCTGGAGAAAACGTCGGCGATGTCAAGACATGGACCGCAGACGAGTCCCTCTTTGGCGCAACGCCTGAAACTTGACTGCCATCGCAAGAATAGTCAGGCACGCGACCATCTTTGGCGCCAATGTCCTCTGTAGAGGATGGCATTGTATACGTGCTGCGGATGCGTAGCTCTAGTGGTCTGGTGGCACTGGCAGCAGTAGTGCTCTTCATGGCTCTGGAGTTTCGGATCGCAACCCGCACTGTTATCAAGGTAAAGACGATGCCTGCGGATACGCGAGACATGGTTGGGAAAAGTTAACGGGCGATGATGGCCAAATAGACTCACCGACAGTAGGAACGATGGCTTCCTGAACTACGTATTGGCCGTTGTGGCCCAAGGCGTAGAGTATGATGAGGACAAGCACTTCCAGCACATATACCATGGCTGATTCGATAATGATGCGGACGAGCGGCAGGAGACTATGCCCGCTTCTCCAGGTCTGGATTCCGATCGCACGCCGCGTCTCTCTGTCTTGGCGCCAGATACGGAACGCAATGAGGCCGGTGGTCATGGTGTTCTGCACAAATGCCACGGCATAAATGGTGTTCATCCAATGGACCAGAGTCGGGGAGAAGATAGCGCCCAACTGCACTTTCGTGAATAAGTGCAAGGCTATACTATTGGCAACTAGGCCAAGTCATCACTAGGTCAGATGTATGCTTCTTGGGGAGTAGTTCGACCCACTTATACTGAGGATAAGTAACAACGTCGGGACTATGATGACATAGAAAGTTTGTCCCCATACCACGAAGCATCGATAGATCTGCGGCGGTCGTGAGTCGACGTATACGAAAGTACTGTAATCAACTTTGGACACACGACTAATGAGTCCCCGATCCAGGTAACAATAGCATTGATGGCGTCGTGTGCAATATTATCCCATCGTCCTAGATCGTTGAAGTACGCCACTGGACCGGGGTCTGCAGCCAGCCATACATAGCCTCGTAGAAATCGATACAGGTTCAGAGCTAAACAGAACGAGTGTTCAGATAATACACACGTGATGTGCGGCGACAGCCAACCTATGTGAAGTGTTGCGAAAATGAACATGGTCACTGTAGCTCCAAAGAATATCTACAACCAAACAAGCATGGAGGGGCGGTCAAGGACTGGCGGTCTGGGTTGAACTCACTTTCGAAGGAGTCGTCTGCTTCTTCTGCTTCTTCACTATAATCCAGACGCTTTCGAAGAAAAGACTACAGTACATCCCTGCCGGAGCGTAAGTGATGATTTAGTTTGCCGATCCGTGTCATACCATACAACAGAACCTGGATCGGGAGGAACCATGTCAGACTTGCCATCGCAGAATGGCAAAATATAAGCGTTCATATACCTCCATCCACACCGACAGTGCCCCTGCAACATTGAGAGGTAGCTGACCCATGACACGTTGGAAGCGGTGAGTCCTTGATGCTGCCTATCTCAGAATTTGGTAGAGGAAGATAGAGGGTCACCATCCAGGTGCCAAGGCCCTTTATAGGGACCTGTTCGCGTATGGGCGCCCGACCCTTTGAGTTATGGAGTGTGGACCACTGTGTGGTAGATGTCATCGCAAGCCCGTGCCAACATAGGGCTGATGGCCGCTACCTTCTATACATTCCCATAGTTATCCACCAGTCATATTCAACAACTTGACACACAGTAGTAGCGCCCATCAAACCATGCCCAAGCGTAGAGTAGGAGCTAGGTGGAAGCCCTCTGATACCTGTCGCGATGGTTACTCCGACCGAAGGGGTTCAGGTTCCTGTGTAGGCTGCAGCTGCTGGCTGCTGACGTACGCCAGTGGCCCAGTTATCGCGTCAATGAGGTGGTCATCTGGTGAATTCAATAGGACTGAATTAAGTAGAAACCTAAGAATTAACAGGCCTATGAGCGTCGGACAGACTTAGGCATCAGAGATAGGGGAGTCCAACGACGTCAAGGGTTGCTGGTAATAAAGTTCATATCGATGATGCGTTGGAAAGGAAGAGTTCCGGAATCCTGTGCCCACACGGAGTACATACGGCATTCAGGGACGTATGTCTATGCATAGCATGTTACTGGAACATACCAAAATGAACCAACAACAAGCCGCGATGGCCCTATGGCCGTCTGGCCCTATAAGTAATACTTAGTCAAGCTTGGGTCTGATGATTTTTGTTCAGAGATAGCATGCGCACCTGATAGAACCGACCTAGCGTCTCGAGACAGATCGATCCTGACATCTACTTACCGGACATGCTACCCGGTGTTAATAGCAATCTTTCCAGTCAAAAACAGAAGGTGACCTTGAGGAGACTTGTCAATGTTCCCCAAGTTCAGAGGCGGCGACGACGACGCGATGAAACGTGCAGAAATGACAGTCTGTCGGCGACATGCATGTAGCCTATACATTTAAAGTAGGTCCACAAATGTATCTCTGGCATCACAGGCAAAAGCAGCTTTAGTATACATAAGTATGCCAGAACTCTCTCTCGAACCATGACGGCATTCTGCGGAGTAACGAGAAGGATTACCAGGACCCCGGCATACTGGTATATATGTTTGATCCTAGTGCGGACATAAACGGCCAATTTTGAGGCCCTATGTCGGATATTTAGGCGGACATAAAGCCCAAATTTTCGGTCCATGTCCGGTATATCACGGCGGACACAAGGGCCTTGCCGGTCTTGGTGTCCGATCACCTGGCGGACATACCAAGTCGTCGAAGTGTCACACCCAGTAGTCCTTGTACTAGGTTGAGTGGTGTCTCTTATGCTTCTCAGTCAACTGTCAGCTCGTCTCGTGTATATCCAGGTATATCCTCAGCAACGGTGAATGAAATGCAACAGTGGTGGATCTTAGGAAGACTGAAATACAATATCCCGGAGTAATCATGTCACGATCTACTCGTTGCAGCGTTGGGCGTGTGCCGGTTTCGAGGTTGGATCCGTTTGGCGGACACACCGGGGGGCGCCCGAGCATAGGTCACTTATGCGGACATAAGCAGCCCAATTTGGGCTGACCGGATCCTAGAGGCGGGTATATCCGGTCCAAATGTGTGAGGCCATAAGGGCCGAAAATCGGGCACTTAGGATCAAACATCAGTACCCATATGCCGGGGTCCTGGATTACCCCGACCGTCAGACCCTCCGATCCTTGATAGAACACTGAACAGTCATCCATGCCGCCCATGACGCGGACGTATTCCAGGTATCGAAAACATTAAGAACTCCCAGGGCTGTGCTAACTAACCCGTCGACTATGCGAATGCATGAATGGCTCTGATGTCTGGTATTCTCGAGGCGTTCTCGGTGACCTCCGAACGGAATGCCACGCCCTGTGACCGTTCACTCGAATCATTCAATTTATACAGGTCTATAAAATGACGGCCTCACAAATCCCTTCCCAGGAACGTGAAGCAGCATCTGCCCCTCCCTTGGGCCCCCCCTTGCATTATAGTCGGAACATCGTCACTCGAGCAATAGAAATGTCCTCCGTCAAGCTTGGAGATGCCGGTGACATCTCAATTTTGGACTTCGGTCCCTTCCTGGATGGAACCAATAAGCAGGCTGTGGCGGATGCTGTATTAGCTTCGTTCAGAGAGATGGGATTCGTATACCTCGTCAACCATGGTCTTCCTCAAGACAAGATTGATGGCATGTTCGGATGGGTAAGAAATAAATGTTTGTATCTGAAGGTCTATGCATGACGTCGACGTCTGGCTGGCAAGGCGAAGAAGTTCTTCAATTTACCCCTTGAGACCAAGCAATTGGCCCCACACCCTCCCTCGGGCACTCATCATCGAGGTAGGCCTCCGAGTCAGTTTCTCCTTAAGGTGTGCAGGACTTCAAACCGTCGATAGGGTACTCTGCGCCTGGGCTAGAGAAAGTGACACAGCATGTTTATGACGACGAAGAACTGAAGAGGAACCGGTCCCAAGCCCCCGATGTTAAAGAAAGTTTTGAAAGCGGCCGGGAAGGTGATCCGTACCAACCCAATATCTGGCTTCCAGACGATCTACTTCCAGGCTTCAGAGAGGCTTGCCTAGACTTTTTCTGGGTAAGGCGATTTTTCTGATACACTGCGAGGGACGGCTAATAGTGCGATAGACATGTCGCGAAGTGGAATTGTCCATTCTGAGGGCGTTGGCTCTGGGATTTCGATTACCGGAAGATTATTTCGTCAAATACCACACTGCCTCGGACAACCAGCTCCGGCTTCTCCACTACCCTAGGTAAGGTCAGGAATGACGTATACCGAACGGCCGCCTCCATTTTTGACACGTACTCACAGCGTCCCTGTCGAGAGCCTGACAAAAGAACGAGTAACAAGGATTGGGGCGCACTCTGACTTCGGTAGTATAACCTTATTAATGCAAGACCAGGTGGGCGGCTTGGAAGTGGAGGATGTCACTAAGCCAGGACAATTCAAGGCAAGACACACCGTGCTGTGATTCGTCCTACGGCAATTCTCCTTACTTCCCCTCAGCCGGCACCCCCAGTGGAGGGTTCCATCATCGTCAATGCGGGCGACTTCCTCCAACGATGTAAGTCTTCCCACTCTATCAGACCCTCGATATCCTGAAAACCTCCGCAGGGTCGAACGACATCATCCGAAGTACGGTGCATCGCGTGCGCGCACCGCCTCACCTTACTACGAAAGATGGAATGACCCCGGAGCGATATTCCATACCCTACGTGAGTGCCTGGTCACCCCGAGTCCACGTCTTCAGAGTCTCACAGCGCGAGTATAGTTCTGCTCTGCTGTAAGATCCTCATTCTCACTAGCCAGGTTTAACGGACCCATTGACGATGACTCAGGACATGACAACGGTAGTCGACTGCATACCGGGAACGTATTCCGAGGAAAGGCCCAAACGCTACGAGCCAATCTCTGTGAGTAATTTTCTTAGGTTCGAGGATACGAAGTGTATGACGTGGGCGGTTCACTCAGGCAGCTCAATACATCATGAAGCGTCTAGCTGCCAGCTATTGAGCACGAACCTCGAAACTGACTGACGTCTGTAATGGAGTCAGTATTGACAGTACCCAGAAACTGCATCGTTCTTTGAAAGACAATATGACCCTTGGGGCAGTAGCGACCTCCAGGAACTAGGACCGTCTCATAGTATATGTTGGAAGCAATAGCGATACACGATATTGCAAGATCCGTCGAGAACCCCTACTTTCATTGTCTAGGTGGCAAAAGATCGGACGGTGCCGAGAGAGAAGGTATGTTCGAAGCAGGAAGTGGATATAGAATACATACATAAACCGCAGGACCACGAAAAAAGGACAAAGCACTAGCGTAATAGGATGACCATACTCATAGGATTCGGAATGATTAAAGAGGACGACAGGAAAGAAACGAGTGCGGAGATGCTATAGCTTGAGTTCTGTGAGGACTCGCCGTGCAAGCATCTGGTACTGCCATCCATCCCCTGCTGATCTTCGGAACTGCAATCCGTGGAGGGGAAGCCAAGGTACCTAGCAAACGCACGGGTCAGCGGTACCCCAGAATTACGAGGGATATACGACATACTTTTACAATGTTGATTTCAAATCGGACGGCTAGGGTATTAGTGCCAATGCTCTCAAACACTTCTCGGTCCACCTCTCCGGTAGGCAACGGCGTTGAGTATCGAGGGCCAGGCGTGGGAGTAGAGGCATAATCACGAGGTATAGGAGGCAACACTTTGGATGGAGCAGGACTCGCAGAGCGAGGAGTCGTGTCGTCAGCTCCCATCGTCGACGCAGCGTCGGTAACTGTTGACTGAGGCTCGGCTACAACTGTGTGCGTGTTGGATGACACATTGAAGAAAGATGAAGACCCACTGCTGGCCGTCGCAGTCAGCATTGTAGTACCGGAAGGTCGACTGGGAAGATCCTTCTCCTTGTCAGTTGAAGACTCCCGATCTTTGCCCTTTTCTTTCTCGGTACGGTCCCGCAATAGCTCTTTGCTCCTGGTGGCGAAAGACAGCTTCGACGCTTTCTTGACGATTGACCTTCTAGTCGTACCAGTCCCAGTATCGGTGGAGCCACCAGAGCCTTGTTTACGATGACTACTACGCTGAGGCTGCGGCGTCTGCACAGACGAAATGTCGACAGAAGGGATGTGTATGCATTCAAAGCCACTACGCGTCTCACGATATTGCACTGCCATCCGGTCAAGAACCCGTCGTATGTCTGCTTTGATGACAGTGGGTGGTTTCGTAGACGTGGTGGCGACACTGGTTTCTCCAGATCACGCAGATGTCACAGGAAATACTAAGAAAAAACGAACCTGAACAAGCCCTTCATGAATACCGGCTTGAACTCTTTCTCAGCACCATCCACATCCTCCTCGTCCTGAAGGCCGTTTTGACCATTAACAACTTCACCCTGTTCGTTCGGCTGTTCCTGCGTTTCCTCTTCCTCATCAGTCCGGCCAATGTATCTATCGCCCATAGGTCTCGGTCCAGACACAGTCCCAAACCCGCTGGATGGTCTGCGATGTCGACCAATCGTGCCGCCCGAGAAAAAAGCCGCCCCGGTACTGCTGCGCCGTTCATGTCTTGCAGAACGCCCTTGGGGGTCGAGGATAGTAGCTGCTCGTCGATGAACGCCCTTGGTCGGGGTCGTGGGGGTGGTTGGTGACGGTAACTCTGCATCACGGTTAGCCGTGTCCTGGGAAGCTTTCGCGTTGCCCTCAGCTCCCTTGTCGGCAATGCCGTCCTTCTCGGCATCAACGTCTGCAGAAGCTCGAGGTGACGTCGCGGCTAAAATGCTGCCTCGCTTTCGACCATCGCTTGACCGCCTTGAATCATCGCCCCTCCCAAGCAAGCTGCCAAACTTCCGTACCAGCGTCGCACCCGCCGCCATCGGGGTTAACAGGGCATTATCATCTCTATTCTCCGGCTCTTGCTTCTCTGCAAAGGAGCTCAATTCTGGTCCAGCCGTCCTGGGCGGATCCCATGTATCTGCCCTAGGTGGTGAACCCTTCTCATTCAAGGTGCCATGCTCGTCGATCGTACTATGCCCACCACCTATTCCCGAGAACCAGCCTCTGGAGATCGTAGTGGACGGACGCTGACTGAGACTATGGCTCCGCCTATGCTTCGAAGGAGCGGGTGCACGGGGGAAACCCGCATTGCCTGAAGGATCGTTGCCGGGCGGGACATCGCCACCTTTGGAGACAGGCATGATACCCGCATCTCGAGGCCGGGGCTGCATTTGGAAATTGGGCGACGTGGGCGACGGCGTCGCCTGCGCCGCATCGTAGGACATCCCGGAATAGTGTGATGTCTCGGGTGCAGGTAATCGAGGCAAAGGCATACTGTAGTCTGCCTTCCCAGGTACAGCATCTTTCTTCGGCACTGCGGGCTGTGAGACGGCCTTCGCACTGGACGGAGGGGGTGCTGGAGCGTCGGGGCCCGGTGAAGCCGCCTGAGAGGTTTCGAGGGAGATCTGAGAGCTGGCAAAGTGACCCGGGCCGTACACTCTTTCGCGTTCGAGTTTCTCCCGTGCCAGGTAATACATGGAGACGAGTGGATGGAAGCCGCCAGTGGGATCCGGCGGCTCTCGCTGCAGATCAGTGAGAGAGAGATGCGAGAGATGAGATTGCGAGGTGGGAGGAGAATGCGAGGGGGTGCTGGAGGGCGAGGAGGATGGGGAGAAGAATTTCCGACGATAGAAGTCGAAACCAGAGAATCTGCGCGATTTCTGCTTGGCGGGAGTTCCACCTTCGTATTTCGAACCGTCGTAGGACAGCGCGACAGATGACGTCGAGAAAGACTCGCCCCACTTTGAGTGCCCATTCCGTCCATTGGCCATATCCCGTTTCCTCTCCCAATGCTGCACGGCTCTCTGGTACCCATCCGACTCCAGGATATCGATCAGCTTCTTCTCGATCTCCTCCTCCGTCCCAAACTCGAGGCCCGTCATTTGACGGATTACCGTTCTCTCGAGTTCATCCGGGCGAAGAGGTTCCCGCCTTACCATATGGGGATCAGGCGGTCCAGGGAAACCTCGCACCATCCAAGGATGGCTCAAGACCTCTGAAAGTGGCGCTCGAGCTGCGGGGTTCGTTACCAACATGCGGGAAAGCAGATGTTTACATTCTGTTGATAGCAGAGCTGAGTCGACGCAGCATCAGAGCAAAGACCGATGAAGCCGTACCTGCACTGAGCCACACAGGATATTCTACCAATCCCCGCTTGATTTTGGCGTGAAGCGCCGGCATGCTTTGGTCGTCGAAGGGAACCTTGCCACAGACAAGAACGTACAAGACAACGCCGAAACTCCAGACGTCGACCTCAGGTCCAGTGTACACCTTGGCGTTGAGCAGCTCCGGGGCAGCGAAGTACAGAGAACCGCAGAATGTCCCCAAGTGGTTTGCGGGATCGTACAAGTTAGACAGGCCGAAATCTATGATTTTGATGTTCCCCGTGTGCGAAATGAGGATATTTTCGATTTTGAGGTCTAGTTAGTGAACGTCAGACAAGGTGCTCGATGAGCACCGATCCGCATATATCGGGAACTCGAGAAAGCGACTTACCTCGGTGCACGACATTGTTCCGATGACAGTATTCCAATGCACTTCCTATCTGCCTCGCAAACTTTCTCGCTACTCGTTCCCGCAGCCGACCATGACTGATGATGTAGTCCAACATCTGCCCGCCGTTGATGTATTCCTGCACCATATAGTAGTGATGTTGGTGTACGATCATCTCGCGCATCCCACATATGTAGGGGTGGTGAAGCAGCATAGATAGTGCAGCCTCCCGTAACGTCCGGATCTCCTTCGAAGCATCCTTGTTGGCCTGCTTCGCTGCTGCCTCGCCAGACGCGCCGTTCGTCGTGCCGCTCGGCGACGCTCGAGGAAGAATTTTGACGGCAAACTGTACTGCCGTTCCAGCAAATCCAATCATCGGACAATATATTCACTCACTTTCTCCCCGGTAATATTGTGATGCGCCAGTTTGACTTTCCCCATACTACCCGCTCCCAGCGTCTTGCTGAGCGTATAGTCGCCAAGAACACGGTTCGAGCTCCTCTGCTTGCTGGACCCATCCCGCGAGCGATGCTTCGAGCCATCCTCCATCGTGCCTCTCTCGCGTTCCGGCTGCGTTGGAGGAGTGTAAGCCTGCGGGGGCATGGACACAGGCCTGGGCTTGCTGCTGGGCTCCCTCGATCGCGGCGTGTACGACTGCTGCTGCTGCGTCTGGGTCGTCGCAGACATCTCTGCTGCCGTGGTCGTCGTGGTCGTATCGGGGCGAATGTCGGGCGTCGGTGTGGAGGGCTTGTCGATCGGTAAGTCGTACTCGTCGCCGGCAACAACGGTGCCGCCGTGTGAAGGCGTGATCAAGCCGGACTCGGGCTCTGCGTCGTCGCTGTGTGAGTAGGTGGAGGGGGATGTCTGTGCGGCCAGTCCAGTTGGGTACGCCGTCGTCGGCATGCGCAGCGCTGGCACGTTGTGCGGTTGTTTGACGCGCCAGAGACCGTGCGGGCTGAGTGCGATCCTGCGCTTGCAGAAACGCGGAGTTCCTTCGCCCAATTTGGCTAATGTCTTCCATCACCGACGTCCCTTCCGGCTTCCGAACTGCCTCTATCTCTAAAACCCTACTTGGAATTCTGCATTCTGTGACATATATCTTACAGGTTTGAACCTATCCGAACGCCTGCTACGCGACACAAAGACAGAGCAATCTTGAAGACCACCGCTCATACGTTTGCATTACTAGCTCAAGGGTAAAAGAAACGGCAGAAAGTAAGGGACTTATATGTTTTGACCCTTTCGAGAACAAATGGACTGAGACTGATGAAATTAACGCCCAGAAATAGTGATCGTGATATCGATAGCGAGGCCGACATGGCCATAGTGGTGTCAGTGCATGTCTTGCATCAAAGGCTTTAAATTCTCCATGCTCCTGCGAGCGCAGTCAAGGGCGTCTCCGAAGAGTTGAAGCTTCCCCGTCTATCTTCTATCCATCTAACCAGAAGAGGCTGAACCTTCCCGCCCATGTCTACCGACTGCAATCGTTGCCTTGCTGCTCGGTCGGAACCACGTGCTGTCTACACCCTCCGACCCAGTATTGCTTTTGTCCTCCTGCAGATATATTCTACCATCCGGTCGTTTTCCTACAAGACAAAAGTACAAAGGCATGGAGATAACTGCTCACATTCTGCAGGCCGCCGGACAACCAGACAGCTGAGCGTGGCTTCATCATGGAATCCCGGCGGTCCACGGCTGCCCGAGCCACTCACGTCCACGCCATTATGGACGCGTCCAGGCGCTGGAATACATCCGTTGGTTCTTGAACCAGGATCTTCGACAGGCTGTTCTTCCTCCACTGACTGAACCCTACGTCTGGGCAATTGGGCACTTCCGGATGTTGTATAGCGCCAGGTATACCAACTACCGTGGCTGGACGAGTGCTGGCTGTCTACTGTTTCCATGTTGCCCCAGAAACTGACATGGCACGTTCGAGGTCTCCCGTATTTCACCTCCGCCTAAAAACGCCGTCCAATAGCCTCGATTCCCCGAATACTTACGGTGGTCCTTCGCGACATGTTTCAATTGCTGTATATATGACGCACTTAACTGTATGTATAGACAAGGTGGCTTTGATCACCGACCTAAAGCTGGAACCGCTCCGAGGGGCGACAAGGATAGAACCGAGTCTTCCTCCGGGTTCAAGGTCGAGGATTACTGCGCCTCTGGATCCACCGCCTCAAGTTCATGTATAGGCTTCAGCTAGTCTGACTGCACCACCAGTCCCACATACTCACGGGCTTTCTTGTGTTCTGTCCTTGCAATCCTCAGGTACCTGTACCCACTCATACGTCCGGCACTTAGACTGCGGCTTCCTTGGCCAGCTGGAATGTCCCATCAATACCATCGCTCGGACGCTCAGCGTGATACTGGGACGTGCACGAAATCCACAGTGGATCTCGGATCGGGCGTCTATGGCTGACTTCATGTGTTTTGAAGCCTCGGCCAATATAAGGGTCCGATGTGGATGTGGTGGTTTGCTTTGCTTTCATTACTCGCGACTTCCAACGGCTCAAGTCGAGACTTCCTTACTTCTGCCGGCATTGGTTTGATTCCGTTCCTTCCCGTATGCGCTCAGAATGTTGCTTATAATCACCAATGGCGCAGCGAAGTGTACTGAAGAAGGAAGACTCCCGCAGCCACACCCGGCCTTTCGCGCAATAGTCTATACGGGGATGTTTTACAAACCTTCGCTGACTTGAGCTGTCTGCGTACCTACCAGTATAGCCCAATGGGTATATTCCGAGTCGTGCACCGCCATCATTCCTGTTCTTTTTATAAGGACGTGCTCCTGTCATGTCGGGATGATAGCACTCGCCTGGGGTGGCACCGCGATCATCCTCTCGCGTCCGTCCGTACTTGTCTTACGCTTTGACTGTTGAGTCGTTTGTTCGCTACTGTCATTGACCATCACCTTTCTTACCCGCATGCTTGACTCAATCGGGATTCGGGGCGCTGGGGTGACGCTTTCAGAGGGGAATGCTGCCCGCGTGAAGGGTGATGAGGTGGAAACAGTGGTATATGATTTCTCTCTCGTAAGTTCCTCCGCCGTGTGTGAAGGCATAGAGCATCCGAGAGGGTGCGGCTGCCCGTCGTCTGCAAATAATGGGGTAGCACTGCGATGATACGCCGCTTGGCTGCCAAGTATCGTTCGCGGAGGGGATGACTGTCCTGCAGGACGGTCATCCTCACCGTGATGGCTCGCGATCACAGCCCTTGTACCACTATGCAAGGGGCTCGGCGGAGGGCGCCCCTCTGTGACTTTGGCAGTCAAGCGCCGCGGTGCCAGGGACTTGAAAATTACGATGCAGGTGTCAGGACATCAGCGCCCTGGCATGTTGATACAGCTGCATCAGTACTCGGGGCTGTCCGGTGTTGATGCACTGATGGGGATAGACTTTGTTTTCTCTAACTGTGACTGGCGATCGCGACACAGCATGATGACGGTACCTCTGGGGAGGGGGGGAGGGGGGAGGATGCGATGCCAGGGGAGATGCGGTGTTTGGTAGGTTTACCCGCGAGCGCGATGATCGCTCGCAAAATCACTGCCCAATCTTTTGTTTATGAGCCGTGCTAGTGGATGACTTCCCGTAAGCCAAAATCCTAGATTTCGCAGTTCTAAACGCCATCAGCGTACCTGGTCACACTCGCTGCCACGGTGAAATGGAAAAATAGAACTGTTCCTCCCATCCGTAATGCCAGACCAACGCTCGACGACTGCAAGTCACGACCATGAGGTCGCTTTCCATTTATGGCGAGCGGATCGCTCAATTTAGCAGGTGCTGATGGCAGGTTTGATACGCGGACCTCAACCGAGGCTAAGCGAGCGTTTAGAGTCGTCTGGAGATTTGGAAAGGGGGTCGACCCCCCCTGCTAGATTTAAAGTTTAGAGACGGTTTTTGCTCGACGAGCCTCATCAAAACTTGGTCTAAGCGAGAGCGTGACAAGACGGCATCTCGGCTTGATGCGTTTAGAGATTTAGAACTGCTCAAAACGCATTCTAAATG